CACACACACACACACACACACACACACACACAGAGAGAGAGAGAGAGAGAGAGAGAGAGAGAGAGAGAGAGAGAGTTTGCATCGGTGGGTTGCCTCCATCCTGAGTGCATCACCTGTCACATTTGTTTTTGTGAGCGAAGCCGCAACAGGTCATCTAGTTATAATAAATTTGAGTATTTCTTTTAGTTGTTATTTCATTCAAAGTTATTGAGGTTGTAATGACCCGCCATAACACAGACTGAGAACACTGCTGATTTCTGAAGTTCTGCCGATGGAATGGATGCCTTGCTGAGATTCCCGCATTCTGCTGAGTTTTCTAAATCTGTATGTGTGCATGATTGTTGATCGGCGTGCCTATCTGAGTGCTTGCCGGAATGAGTGTGTGTGTGACCCGCAAGGGTACGTGCTTGTTGGGCAGGCCCGTAGGGCCGTTACTTACCTGTGGCCGTGGCATTGAGGGTTGCAGCAGGGGAAAACACTCAAGTGGTGGAGCCAGAGGCCCGCGGCACTTAGAGCAGTGGAAAACCACTCAAGTAGCAGGTAGGCCGGTACCGCACCGAGTAGCAGGAGTTGTGCCGGGTACTCGAGGCCAAGCAGAAGAAGACAAAGTTGGCATTTTTAGAGGCCCCGTAGCGGTAGGCAAGGTCTAGGCCGGTACCAATCCATCCAGTCTGAGTCTAGAGCCTGTACGGGCAATATCAGAGTCTGCAATGATGTTTCCCTCCGAAAGGGAGGAGGTACCGGTTGCTTGGGAGGCCGAGCGGCCTGGAAGTCACCGCCCAGGAGGCAAGTAGGCCGCTATATCAAGAGGCCGAGGGAAGAACCCGGCCTCATTCTTCAGTGTGCAAGTTTGGCGACACGCTGCTGGAGCGCTGGCTGAGTAGTGCTGGGTACTACAGCGCTGCTGGGAGGAAGAAGCTGGGAGCTTCCACCTTGGCTATGGTGGAGCTCTACCGGTAGGAGGAGGAGGGAGAAGGGGACTAAGGAGGAGAGTGGCGAGGTACCTACCTGGCTATGGTGGACACCATCTTCATCACCTTGTTAGGCGCTGCATCTGGAAGGCCCCCGTTGAGGTAGTGCCGCACCAAGGAAGCTCGGGGCAGAGAGGCATGGTGGCCTAGTGAGCAGCGGCATAGCTGCTTTGCGTTGTCCTTTGCACAGGGAGGCAGCGACATAGCTGCGTTGGGTTGTCCTTTGGACAAGAGGGTTGAGCCCTCAGTAGTCCGCCATAGCCTCGGCCTACATGTGAGAGGAAGGAGAAGGGTGGCCATGGCTATGGTGGACCTCATGTTGTGCCTGCAGTAAAAGTGGGATTCGGACGTTGATTCTGGTTCAGCCATTCAACATTATTATTGTTATTTCTTGTTTGAATGAGGAGGAGATAAGGAGGAGGAGATTGGTTGGCGAAGAAGAAGAGTATTATCTTTGGTCTATGCTGGAGTACATCATCTTCCTCTTCTTTCTTACTTCCTCTTCTTCTTTCCCTCTCTCTCCTCTCAAGTTCATTCATTTCTTTTTGCAATTGGACGGCATTGTGCTTTCTGATGAATGTATACTTCGAAATTGGCCAGGATTGTAACAAGCTTTGTAAATATTTATTTCAATTATTGATTATCCTTTGTTTTTATTGCATTGCTCTTACACTTGCAGCGCAGAAGACATGGACCCCCTTGTTCGCGCCAGCGCACTGGCAGTAGCAGGGCGCTTGCTCTCTTCCACGGACTCAAGGCCATCATCAATTTCACAGTCACGTAAGTTTGGACTCGCTGCCCTTTGTGTTAGGGACTCAGGCAGGGCTCCATGCCTGGTCCGCGGTTTACCACCCGCTAGGTTGCTATTTTATTTTTGAGTTTCTGATCTATGGTTCCTGACTGTTGGTGCCCTCTGCAGTTGGCGCCCGTTCTCAAATTCCTCCTTTGGCACTTTTGGATTTCGATTCGCCATCCGGCATTCTGGCACCCAGGCTCAGACCTTCGATTTTCAGTTCAGCGTCGAGGCAAATTGCACTTCTACCCTCAAGACTGAACTTGAGTCCGGTACTTAAGAACGGACTCAAGCTTAGTACGGGCACTCAGTTTTCAGCCTCAATACTTTTGTTTCAGTGATACTTGCTGCGGCATTGTGTTCAGAATCCAAGATTGCGACTTTGTGACTTTGCCACTTTGTGTCTGCGTCCGTCGAGTCGTATCGAGTCTGTGTCGAGTTGAGTGAGCGTGTGTGTGTGCTCTCACTCTCCTCTCTCTCCCAACCCCGCTGCCTTGCCTCCGCCTTGTCACACTGGTATTGGAGCGGCAAACGGCCCTCCCTTGCTCCCTTCTCCGGCGCCGCCACGTCATTGACATCGTCGTCATTGTCACCGTCTTCGGCGCCGCTGCCACGTCATCATCATCATTGTCCCGATGGCGTCTTCGCTGCTGCGTTATCGTCATCGTTGCCTCGTCCTCGCCATTGTTGCCTCGTCACCGCTGTCGCTGCCATCGCAGACCCACAGGTAAGGCCTCGACAATTTTTTTCTTCCTTTTCTCTCGCCTTGTTTCTTCTTCTTCTTCTTCTTCTTCTCTTTCACCATCGTCGTCGTCATTTTCTCTTCCCCCCTCATTGTCGTCATCATCTCCCCCTTCTTCCTCTTCTTCTTCTTCATCGTCTTCCCCCCCCCCCCCCCCCCCTTCGCCCACCCCCCACCCACCTCCCCCCCCCCCCCCCCCGCCCCCTCCCCTGCCTTCCGCTTCCCCTCCGTTGCTCCTTTCCCCCCTCCACCCCCCGGGATCTCGACCCGTTTCCCCTCGCGCTGCTCACCTTTCCTCCGCACGACTTCCGCCCCGCACCCTTCTCCTTCCCGTCCACATGCTGCTTTTCCCCGTGCGCCACTTTCTGCTCCCCATATTCCCCCCCCCCCCCCCCCCCCCCCCCCCCCCCCCCCCC